GAGGGATCCACTCTCCCATGTCCCAGGTATCCTCACATCATCAGGTTTCAAGGGACACAATATTGGAACCACAGCAATGTCCAAATCTTTGGAGTTCCTTTACTCCTTCCCTCCTCCCCTTTCTGTACAGAAACCAAATGCCTAACTGCCCTAGTTAAGGGTTCCATTATTTTGTACACTGATGCCATCAAACTTCTTGTCTTTTGGATATCTAAAAGGCTTTGCTATTTACAGAGCATTTTCATGTACTTTAAACTCATTGCAATGAGGCAATTGCAGAACAAGGATGGTGCATTGAGGATTTTCCACTTTGGTTTCAGATTTTTGTTATCAGATGGGAGAAATATGGGCATGTTTTAAAAGCCAGTGGGAATAATGTAGGTAAGAGAGAAGGGATGAATGGCAGTGTAAGCATAGAGAGATCAAAATACACATGGAGAACTTGCTAAGCCATAAGGAAGGGCAGTTTCTCTACCTAACAGAAGAAAGGGAGGTGTAATTGTTGCACATATTCACTAGTTTGCCGTAATGATCATGAGTACATAAGGAAGCTCCAAGATGATGGCTCATGTCATCCCTGTCATGGTAGAGGTGAGGTCCTGTCCAAGGGTGGGAGAGTGTAGTGGAGTCACAATATCGAACAGATTAAGCAATGTGAACAAATCATGAACATGGCAAATAAACTGGTAAGAGAAACAGAGAACCACCAGGCTGTATTGAGGGCACATTGAGATGATCACAAATAAGCAGTACAAGCAAATTGCTTCAGCAAGGTGTGGCTGCTCAGGTATGTACTCAGAGAAAGCGCCTATTTTATTTCATTTGTATTAAGGGCTTTTCAGAGGAGGATGATAAAAGTTACAAAGGACAAGAAAGCTGAGGACATTGCCCAAGTATCATCAAAAGAATGGACTGTGGATTTTTAACTGAATAAGGAAAGAAGCGAAAAAAATGGAAAAGACAGAGAGATTGGTAAGGAATTGAGATATCTGCCTTTCTCCAGTAGAATTATTGTGAAAAGTAAATGAGATAATGTTACTTGATAAAGTCATGACCCATTTTTGTAAAGAAAAACAGAAAAATATGTCATGGCTTTTCCAAGGACCCAATATATTATGTCAGATGAGAGTATTATACCAGATGAGTGTGAAGTCATTTCAAGGTTCTTGGTCTGCTTTGGTCCCAACTACTTATTCCCCCATGGGACCAGGAATCCTATGTCCTTCACCATGAAACTCAGAAGCTCAGCAAAAGTGAAGACATGGACTGCAGTCTAAGGGTCTAGGAACTAAATGTTGTCCCCCGAATTTCTGATTTTACATATACATGTAAAATCAACAAATATCAACATGGCACTTGCTTTGGGGAGAAAAAGCATTTTCAGCCAAGTTGATCTTTTAAATAAAATAACAAATGAAAATATGTTGTTTGTTTTAATAATAGCAATAATGATTGTAGCAAATATTTAGCCTACTCTATGTGTCATTCACATCTCTAGACTTTGTGATTTCAACAGTATTTTTTATCCTATTCCATAACAGTCACAAAACAGAGTTCTTTCTGAAGGTGGTTTAGAGGAAATAAACATGAAGGGCACAGATTCCGAAACTAGATTTAGATTGCTGGAGTTCAAATCTCAACTTTAACATTTATAAACTGTGCAACCAGGGACCAGAATCTGAACTTTCCCAAGTCTCAGTATTCACATCTGTTACAATGGAAATAAACATTATATAATATTGGATTATAACCCAAAATATAGAATAAATATACATAAATATATATGAATATACACAATTGAATAAATAAATGGGGGAGGCTCTGTAGTACATAGGTAATGCACTGCTCAAGAGAAGCAGATTCCACATGGTTCAAATCCCTGGCCTGGTCAGTCTGCAACACACAGAGCACATAAGCAAGTACCCAGGATCTGACAGGCTACTGGTCTGGAGGAAAGGGATTGCAGAACGACCAGACCCAGTGTCTACTGAAGGGTCTTTTCTCTCTTCCTCACTATCTTTATCTCCCTTTCTTGTGTGTGCTCTATCATGAATAAAAGAAAAAAACTTTTAATAAAATAGAGTAGGGAAAAGAAAAATAAAATAGTAATGATATGTACATCCTAGGCATGTTGAAAATTTAAAAAAATTAAACAATAGAAGACACTTACCGCATTGCCTTGATGTACTGAATGCAAAAAACATAGTAATTTTTAAACTATCAACTAAAATTTTATTAAAGAATCACATTTAAGTGATTTCCATAACCATATGAAAACTAAAAGCTACTACATATGTATATTAGGTCATCAGGAAAGTCCTGACATATATTTCCATGTTTTTCTATGCAAAATTACATCATGACTTTCCCAACAACCCAATATACGTGTCTGCATGTGTATACAAGTATGCATATACATTATACTTTACATAAATATATATATACACATATTGCTATTCCAAAATAAACTCAATTGCTTAGTTTCCCTTGCTTAGTCTCCCAAGTTTACATAGATTAATTTCCATTTTTCCTATTAGAATAGTCTATTTACACAGAGGATGCTTCTATTTCCTCCTGTGTATAAGTAAAATAAAATCCCTTATAACAATTTGGACAAGGTATTTTATCAGGGCTTAAAGCCAACAGGATTTTTGTAATGATCCCCGTGATGACTTTAACAATATTCAATCAGGTATGTTCGTTCTGGCACATTTCCTCTTAACCAAGAGAAATCAACAATGTGATCCACACAGAGAATTTTTTAAGATGATAAAGATTAAATAGTTAAGTCATGGGCCAGCCAGTGGTATAGTGGTTAAGGTGCTGGAAACATACACAGTTACAAGGTTCAAGCCCTGGAACTGATGGCTTGAAAAATCACACCAGACACATACAGGAATGCTTTTTCAGGAGACGAGAAGAGAAGGGATTGCAGTGTGGCCCTCCCCTTTATAGGGGGTGATTTCTTATTTTCCTTCTGTTTCTCTCTCTGTCTGTCTCTGCTGAGCACACACCCCCTAAGGCAAAACCTTTAAAAACAACAACAAAAAAGTTAAGTTGTATTAGATGTCAAATTATGACTGGTTGTTTCTTCATTGTTGAAGGAGGAAGAGTTTTTATGAACAAAAGGAAAAAAGTTAAAATGAAGTAAATTCTCAATTTCCAAATCCTCATTTCATGTATAGAGAAACATTAATATTGGTCTATTAATCTATGTTATTACAAGAGAATTTAAGAAGTGCCAAGGAACTGTGCCTGTCTGTTTGGCCCACTCTTCTTTTCTTGCCTACGTTCATGCTAAATACATGTTTCAGTCCCTCTCCAAGAATATGAACAAATCCAAGATAATTTCCAGAGATGGTTGGGTAAACCTTAAATTAAAAGGAAAGTTATGTCACTTCCCTCACAACCAGTCCATCTTGGCTACATGGTATATTTGAGGTCCACCTCATCAGAAATAGCTCTTTTACTAAAGATTCTAATAAATCCATAATCTTGAGTTTAATGATTCAGTGAGTTACTCTTATAATACATAGGAATAATACCAGACTGCCTAGAGACAAATAAATCACAAAAGTATAATAATAATGATGGAAAATAAATGCTATATTATTTAGGAATAAAAGTAATACCATCAAGTTAAACACTGACCAATACAAAACGTAAAGACTTTAAAAGAGCCTGGACATATTTTTTTTTTCCATTACCATGTGGGCAGTTCGGAGTTCCAGTTTAAAGAAAGTATTTTCTAGAATAAAAATAAAGTTACTCAGTTTATAATTAATTTTTCAGACTATAAAATTATCACAAAAGATCTTGATGTCTTTAAGACATACGTATTTATCTTTTGCACATAAGGATGTTGGAGGCACTTGGAAATTTTCTGGATAAAAAAAATGAATCTTGCCATGTGAATGATTTCCTCACTGGGTATCATTAACTAAATATTTAGATTTCGACTTTTCCAAAATGCTAATTTAAATTTTCTTGGAATAAATGTGAACTCATAGCATTCATCTACTGAAAGAATGCCTTCCATCCAGGTACTCAGCAAAGTCATGACAGTTGGGTAACAAGACAATCTGTACTCATCAGCTAGTAACAGTGTTTGCTTGACAATTTTTTTTTTTGTTTTTCAGTGTTTTTGTTTTTTAAATTTACTTACTGCTTACATGAATGAGACACACACACACACACACACACACACACACACACACACACACACACACACACACACACACACACACACACACACACACACACACACACACACACACAGAGCACATGATGGGGTCTCCATTCAGCAATTTATCCCTAGCAGTCCCAGATGAGGGGCACGTACGCGTTGGCGATACTCAGGATACATCCAGGACGAAAACGTGAACTCTTCCCATTAGGGTCTGTCTCTCATTATGACTGTCACCATCCTGACCATCTGCTTGAGATTTTTCCTTTTGTTTTTTGGTTCTGTGCTTTCCCCACTTTAACCACCATCTTCGTAGATCCGATTCTTCTAGAATTTCTGATCCCTCCAATTCTCTACACATGTCTTCACAAACACTGTTTTAATTACTGTCTACATTAGATAGAAAACTGATGCCACATAGAACATGAACTGTGAACTCAGCAGGTGGTTCGTAAAGTCATTCTGTTCTTAGCAAATACTCTCTTCATGAATGTCCTTTTGTTACACTGTAAAAGAAGGGGGAAAAGTGAACCACCGACTCGGTTACTTGCCTTGTTCAATACCTGCACCCTTTAAAGTGCACTTGTGGTTACAATTTTTTTGAGTACTGAAAAGGTGAAGGACTGCTTTTCCACTGGTGACCCCAGTCATTCTTCAGTGGGTGTGTGTATACGGACGCAGCAGAAGGGCAATCCTAACTGCCTGCAGATGCCATTTGCAGAGACCCCAAACAGGCCGCTCGGGGCGAGGAGGGAGCCCACCACGTGGCCGGCAGGGCTCTAGTGCGCCTGCGCAGCGCCCACTCTGCCCTCGTGTGGGTGTGTGCGCAAGCGCACAAGGACCCACCCTGTGCCGCTGCCGTTGGATACCCTAGCCGCCCGAGGGGCCTGGGAGCCGGCTGGGTGCTGGGCTCCGGGCTACCTCTGTGATGGCCGCTCAGCAGGCTCTGGGGACCTGGCGCTGAGGGCACCGCCGGCCTGAATCGGGCCTGGGCGCTGACGTGAGGACGCAGACAGGGTGCTGGACAGGCACGGCTGCGCCAGGGTGACCGGCCTGTATGAGAGACACCCCCCCCCTCCCTCCTTTGGTCTGGCCCTGGCTCTGAGAGGGCGAAACGCGATCCTTAGGACGTTGCACAAATAAAATGCCGGGTAATGTCACTTTGCTTATGGGGTCAAGTGTCAAAAGCCATGAAAGGGCACAGAGACAGAATATGGCTTCCCCCATATCTTACCTCCTCCCTAGCTCTACAGAACTCGGGTCTCGGCCACTCTCCTGCTCTCCTACTCTGGAGTTTGTAACTATTGAGTCTCTCAAGGCCTTGGCATACACCAGTGAGTCCCTTGTGCCAGCCTGTGACATGGTGGTTGGGGCGGCTGGGTCCCACATGACCAACTGCGATTGACTTCGTGAGCCGCAGCTTGAATATGCCTGGCGTGTGTGCCCAAAATCCCAAAAGGAGGGGAAAATGGAGGAGAAGGGATTGCCGCGTGGCATAACCCATTGGAAGGAGGATTCCTGTCTCTCTCTCTCCTATCTCTCTCTCCCTCTCCCTCTCCTCTCTCTCATGTGCACACACACCCTCCAGCAAATTTAAAAAAAGAAAAAAAAGAAATGAGTTCCTTGTTTTCTGGGAGCCAGTTCTGAAAGTCAAAATTTAGAATATTATAATGGGAATTAATGACAAAATATTAGGAGAACAAGGAGAGGAATATCCCAACAAGTTTGAGTCAGAGCAAGCTTTCCAAAGATTACTGCTAGCAGCTGTAAGGAGCTGAAAGCTGAGAGTGTCCAGGATGAGATTGAGAAGGTGGGCAGGGAACTATTCATGAAGGGTGAAGAATTTCTAGGAATTCTGAAGATAGAGGTTCATCTCTGCTAACAATGCTAAAGAAAAAAGTGATTTTTAGACATGAGTTTTTTCTTTTCTTTTCTTTTTTTTTGAGAGGTTTTTGCTATAGGGCGCCTGCTTTTGCCAGAAAGAGAGAGACAGACAGAAAGAGAAAAGTCATGCCCCAGCGGGGATGGACACACCGCAATCCCTTCTCCTCCATTCTCCTCTCGGGATCTTGGGAACGCATGCACATGGGTCTGGCGTGAGTTTAAGCCACCAAGTCCGGGACTCGACCCGTGATGGACTACATGGGAGTCCAGTGACATAGCCATTACGCTAACTGCTGGTCCCATAGACATGAGTTTTCTATGACTGTTCCAAAATTTATATGTGAAGCAAGTTTAGGGGTGATAATGGAGTTGAGAATGAGGGTGAGGTCACTATTTTGGGATTAGTGATGAAATCACCAGAAAATAAAAACAAGTGATTAAAATTTTATTTTTTTACAAAAATAGGATACATAATTGGGTTATAGCATATGCAAGTATAAAGTAAAAAAAAAAAATTTGAAATTTTTATCTTAGAGCATGTGTGCTCACCCAAGAGACAGTGAGAGGGAAAGTGAGAAATCACCTCTCAGAGGGATGACCACACTACAATCCCTTCTCCATTCTCTTCCTGGGATCTTGGGCATGCACTCAAACACACCTGGCATGATTTTCAAGCCACTGGGTTCAGGACTTGAACCACGGTCAGCCATGTGGGAATTCATCACCATAACCGGTATACCACCTGCTGGCCCAAGTGTAGAATATTTTTTAAGAAGAATTTTAACCAGTTACTCCAAGAAAATATTGTATTTATTAATTCCTTCATTCCTTTGCAGTGCCTTTTTAATAATTTTTATTTCTTTTTATTTATGATAGAGTATGTGTGTATGAAAACAAGAGAGAGACACAAAGCATTCCCTAGCAGGGCATGGTCATACCACAATCCTTTTTCTATCCCATTAAGCCTCTTGTGCTGGTTCACCCAAGCCAAAATCCATATAGGATCTGACTTTCTCTGTGTAATGCCTTACTGCTGTGCTGAGGGTCTGGCCCTCAATTGGGGTGCTTTTGGTGGAGGTCTGACAGAGATTCTAGTGCTCTTAAATACAGGACTCAAGTCACTGCATGGTGCTTGACTGTTAGCTACAAATATGAAAAGAATTTTTCTATATACACAAAAGGACTTATTTTTATTTTTTCTGACTTCAGAAGACTGAAAAAATAGCAATTTGGATATGGCTTTTTCTTGTTACTCTACATGAATTCTGCATTTCTGTAACCTTTTCTTTAATCATAACAAAATTCTTAATCTTGTTTGCCTATATGTGCAAACTCTTTATTACTTCTCAAAGATGTATTTGAATGTATAAAGCTTACTTCAGTTATCAACAGATTGTTTCTCTTTTCTGCTGCCCCCAGCTCTTATATTCTTACTTAGCTTTTTCTATGTGCTTTGTAGCATTGAAACATTCAGAACGTAAATTTTAGAAACTAAAGCCTAATTAAAATAGTCAAGAGACTTCAAGAGTGCAAGAAATGAAAAGCCATGAGCCTTTCTGGAAAGATCAAGACTCAAATTCTATGATTTTCAATTTCCCAGATGCATGGCTCATGTTATTCACCCATGTGTGACATACTAGCAGATGTAGAATTTCAGATCTAGAAAGGGATACAATCTTATAATAAGGTTATAATTATTAGACAGATTTTATCTCCATATAAATTCAATGATGATCTAAACAACAGGGAAAAATACAGGGTGAGAAAAGAACTTTTCAGATTGTGGAAGCAGCTTTGAGAAGTTGCCTGATGATAGAACAGGGTTTTGTTTTTGTTTTTGTTTTTGTTTTTGTTTTTTACGTGTAGAAAAAAGAACTAAATTACAAGCTCACATTTCTGGTGAATTTAAGGACAAGAATTTGGTTTTGAAAATGTAAATAGGGTGTTATGAATTGCATTGAACTGATGATGAATTACAAATGAATTGTTGAAAGTTTTACTGGAAATTCTCTAATACTATTCCCTTAATGTTCATATACTTTATCATCTGGAGACACTGTCCACTACTCAGAGATAGTATCTGTCACATACCATTTTTTTTTAATGTATACAGAAAGGCTTTTCAGTTACAGAGGCTATTTAGTATAGGTAGGTGCAAGTTGATGCCTCAAAGAATTTAAAGCATAGGAAAAAAGGAAGCTGTTGCTTGTAAGTTTGAGAAGGTGCCTCTTATTAAAGTTTATATGTCAATGGAAATAATGTATCCTCTGTCATTTTTAAAGAGTAATTTAAAATGTAATTCAATATATGAACTATCAGTTCACATATACATTCGGAAATAAATTTACTAGGAAGTATTTACTTAGTTTTTAATTATTCTCTCATTTCTGAGAAAATCTTGTTTCTGTGTTTTGTTTTGTAGAGGTTTGCTAATAAAGGTATCACCAAAAGTTAGATTCAAAATCATCTAGAGGAAATGCTGGTAGTATGTGTGGGAATGCAAAAATCTCCTCAGCAGATTGGCTTGTTTTAGGGGTAAGTAAGATTTCACTTTGAATGACTAAATTTAGGACCATGATCTATTTTAGTTTTTAAAAAGGATATCCTTGGATCTGCAGGGGGTAGACTTAGTCAAATCAAAAAAGTAAAAGTTGAAATCAGCAGATAGCATAATGGCTACGTCGCTGGACTCCCACATAGTTGAATGTGCTTCAAGTCCCAGACCGGCAGCTTGAAACTCACACCAGGCACATGTGCATACATGCCCAAAATACTTCTCTCCAGAGGAGACCAGCAGCTTGAAACTCACACCGTGGCTATCCTCCCTGGGGGGTGATTTCTTGCTTTCTGTCTCTCCAGTGAACACACTAGCCCTCTAGCAAAAAACTCTCTCTAAAAGAAAAGGTGAAAGTTTATTTCACTTAAAAAATGTTGATTGCTCTACAAATTTTGACTGATCTCATGTCACTAAACAAATATATGCTCAGCATAAATGCATTCATCACACACACACATGCACACAACACACTTACACAAGATAGTAGAAATACAAATAAGGAATAAACAGAAAAAAAGAAAGTATGTGTATTTTTTTTAAACTTTGAGAGGTATCAATTGCTCATCTGCTTTTTATATTTGTACCAATATCTACTCAGTAAACTGATTATAAATTTGTGTTAAGTTATGAACATATGACGTTATGGTTTATCTAGCACTCTTAATAAATACCAAAGAATTATGAGGATCATGTTCTTTCAGATCAGAAAGGGCGAAAACTTTTTCATTAGCTTGAACTTTTCCTCTGAATTTGGAGACTGTGTAGATCAGTTGTCTAAATCTTCCACCTAATTGTTCAGCAAAGTTATTAACTTCCTTGGGGGTTTCAAACTACACAGGCATACAACAAAGTTTTTAATCTTCTCTTCAGAATCATATACACATCATTGTCCTCTGTGCTCATTGTTTTGGGGGTGGGAGGTAGGGTAAGAGCAAAGGATCTGATCTTCTGGAACCCATTGGTTCTAGATTAAGAACCATTTTTAAATAAGAAAACCCATCTGGGACCAGCAGTTGGCGTAATGGCTATGTCACTGGACTTCCATGTAGTGAACCCTGGTTCTAGTCCTGGACCTGGTGGCTTAAACTCACGCGAGGCACATGTGCATGCGTACGTGCCCAAGATCCCAAGAGGAGAATGGAGGAGAAGGGATTGCAGTGTGGCCATCCCCCCTTGGGGGTGATTTCTTGCTTTCATTGTTTTTTAATTTCAATTTATTTATTTGCATTCATTCACTGTACATCATTACAGCATACAAAATGAGATTTTCCATCCAGAGTACACTATATATTGTCTCAATCAAGCACATCAACAAATATGTTATTGTCAGCAAATGATCTTCCATTTCTTGTTTTCTGTATGTTTTGCTTTTTTCCCCCCATCCTTGATTCCCTATCTCTTACCCTCTGCCATCTCCCATTCTCCTCCCACACTGTCTCTGGTATCTATGTTTGCTTTCTATACTGTTTTCCCCCCACATTTTATTGAATCACCAAAGACCCTAATCAATCCAAATACCCTCATAGCAAACACAGATGGCACACACATTTCCATGAACACAAGTCTAACTTTACGCATCCTATAAAGTAGCACCTAGCTGGGGCTACATATCCTACTGCAGTCATTGAATAGATGTATTTTTTTTAAACTTTTTTTTTGTAACTCAATTTACATTCCTTCCCTAAGCATCATCACAGCACACAAAATGCGATCTCCCATCCAGTACACAATGCATAGTGACTCAATCATGCACATTATAAAAAATTTTCCATTTCTAGTTCCTAGAATTATTTCCAC